CTGGCACCTTAGCCACTTGAGCCACAGGTGCCGAGCCTTGACTGAGTTTTTACACTGACTCTGTTGAGGATGGGGACCATGTCTGACTCCTAACAATAGTGGGGTGTTAAAAAATGTTTTCTGAGAGAATGAGTCATGGGATAGGTGAATGAAGCCTTAAAAAACAGCGGTTTAAACCCCTGACAGTGACAGGGAGACATATAGAGAATGTCTTACTTTGAAATCCTTAACTTGTGGTTCAGAAAATTAATGTTCTAGAATTTCAGGGTTTTCAGTTGTGTTGAATGACATTATTCCATTTCGAACCCACCATGAGGCATAATTTAATCTGTTCTCTGCATTAGGGTGATCAGTTAAATGTTAAAGGCAGATTGACATTTTTGAGTAGAATAATTCTCTGAAGGTAAGAAATTTAGCTATTCCTGCCATTTTGTTTGATTTTTTTTTTCCAAATAAAGAAATTCATCATATAATGAGGTTTCAAGTTACTCTGGGGACAAAAAGTATCATTTTTGTGGCATTTGTCTGGCCCTGTTAGCTGGATTGTGTAAGCACGATGCCCAGAAGAGTGTGGGGAACTCAGCTGTCCTTCCTGTCCTGGAGGACGCACACATCTCCGTCCTTCCCACTCCCCACACACTGCCCACAGCCAGTGTCCCAGGACAGAGTACGTGGGAGGCCAGCAGAGCTGTGGGCCTGGCCCTGCCATAGAGCCATGTGGAGAATGACCCAACATGCACCTCCTAGGAGGGCAGGATGTCTGTCTCTGATCCATACAGAGGGAGTGGCTTGGGCTCCTCTTTGGGTGGACATAGGGTGATTTAGAGGAAAACAGCCTCGAGGGGTGGAGAAAGGCAGGGAAACTTTATGTATCTCTATGGTTTTTGACTTATTAAAAAACAGCATGAAAAATGAAAAGCAAAACCTTTTTAAAACCCATCAATTATATATATTTGAAACATTGACTGACCCCTATCGTGCAGGGTCCCCAAGCCAGCGTGTTTGGTGAGGTCACATTGTTGTAACTGAAGGGACAGTGAGGCACAAGCCTTGGGCAGCCACCTGGCCCTGTGATAGCACTGGGTTTTCCCTTCTCTGCATTTTGGGGAGAGAAGACAGATCTGATGTGGAGGGCGGCATCGCCGGTAACAGAAACACCTCTCCCTTTCAAGGCAGTGATGGCCAGTGACTTCGCAGTGCCGAGATTCCGACACCTCGAGAGACTCTTAATTGTCCACGGACACTGGTGCTATTCCCGGCTCGCCAACATGGTGCTGTACTTCTTCTACAAAAACACGGTAGGTGTTTGACACCATCTTTATTTGGATGGAAAAGCCCCAAGACTCATAGGCCTGTCAGCTGAATGAGGCTGGTGGGCCACCCCACGGCCTCCCACTCCCTTCAGCCTCATGGCCTTTATGAATTTCCCCTAGTCCTGGCCTTGCCCTGCACCCCATAGCTCAGAGTCATGGGTACATAAGAGCCACTGCCCCTCTGAGCAGAACAGTGGTGGGAACAGGTAGATAACACTAGGAAGTCCACTCATGGATTTGTAACGAGAAGTCATGGAATCAAGAGGCCAGCAGTTACACAGGGTCACCTAGCTAAGCAGATCCTGGAGGCTGCATTCAGCAGGCCCCCTGCCCCCTGCTGCTGTCCACTGTCCATGTGCTTCCCAGGAGTGTGCTGCTGAGCCCTGCACAAACAGGGTCCTCTCACCAGCGCTTGCTCTAGAATAGACAGGGAAAATCAAATGGTAAGCAGAGGCAAGCCTGGTGGCCCTGGGACCAGAAGGAAGGACCTGGTCATACTGTAATTCCCACACTGAATGGTCTGTCAGGACAAGCCCACGTGAGGCCAGTCTGGCGAGTGCCCAGGTCAGGGAGGCTTGGAGCGGGCAGGAAGGGGGCCACCTTGCCAGGCCTTGCCACACTGTCCTGGATTTGCAGGGCCAGCAGGTCCCCTCTAACCACCTCAGTCTGTAGCTCAGTTGCCACTCCTTGAAGTCATGCACAACCAAGTTGGCTGGGAGTAATTCTGTCTTTGGGGACTGTGAAGGCAGGTCTCTGACCCATTTCATTGGCTCTTGATGTTGAACTCTTAGTCTCTCTTTGTCAGATGGGGTGGGCCGCCTGGCCTCCTGAGAACCTTGCCCACTTAAAAGAGATCTCTAGATAGCCTGCTGGGGAGTTGCTGCGTCGCTATTTGTGACTCCTGCCTCGGACAGCTTGCAGCTGAACGTGCAAACAAAGAGATCAAATAAATAAACTCTTGGGATCAGTGACCTTCCAGGGCAGTCCCATAAATCTGGCTGTCTTGACAACAGCACTTCAAGCTCAAGATTATCCCAGATATTTTGAAAAGAGAAAAGAGTAAAATAAAATAAATTAAAAGGTGCGTTCTTTTCCCCGTTCCCACATACAAATCTCTGTTAGCTCACACTAAGCTGCCGTCAGCCCTGCTCTCACTCACACTCTTGTTTGCTTTAGAGACAACTTCTGCCTTTCCTTTCCACCTCTGTCACCCCCTCACTCTTACACAGTTTTTGAAACATCTTCTAGTAAATGAATACTGATGCTCAGAACTACTCAGGGCATGTCTAATTTGATAGGTTTGGTCCTGGAAATCAGTTCAGATTAGGTTCTGCTGGGGCCTGCATCTGCAGAAGCCTGTGCCAGGCTGCCCCGTGCTTGCTGGCTCATGAGTCCTTTCCATCGACTCCCTGGCATTGGATCCCCAGCACAGTGAGGCCTCAAGTGCACAATTGTAAGCCTAGAGGTTCTCAGCTCCCAAAGGAATGGATGGGTGAGTGGGACCTTTTCCATCGCTGATTAGCTGTAGTATCTTGAGCAAGATATTTGCTGCCTTTGGATTTTTTTTTTTAATCTTGAAAAACAAAACGTGAAGTAAGCTAGGCAATCTCTATAATTCCCAATTAACATAGCTCATATTGAGAGGATGGTAGTAGCCATACAGGCCAAACTATTCAGCAGTTCAGATGCAAACAAAGGCCAGAGTGGCCAGCTGGAGCCGGCAGAGCTCCTGCCTGGCGCCCTGAGCCCCCTTCTCACTGCAGGGCACATCAGGGAGGAGGAGGCCCCTGATTTTATTCCATAAAAATGCAGAACCTTTGTTAACAAGCATTAATGTACATGAGGAGCTTAAGGATAATCACTGCCTCCTCAAATGAGAAATTCATCAGTTCTAGGAATAAGTTGGCCATCCTTTCCAATAAAGAGCAGAGAAGAAAGGTTTCCATAGCAACTGTGGTTTGGGAAGAAAGCCTCTTGGTACTACAGGGGAGGAAAAAACACTCAGTATCGGAGGACTTTTCTTCCTGTTTTACTTGACTCCATTTACTCACTGATGACTCATTAGGCCGAGTCTGCTGGGGTGGGAGGGAGAAAGTCAGCCGTGGGAGGAGGGGAGAAAGTCAATGGAAAATAAAATCCAAATTAGTCAGTTTTCAGTGTGCAGGCTGGAAGTTACATTTTCAGAGATTTAAATCATGGATTGAAACAGGATTTGGAAGGTAGATGTCAAGGTAGGTTTCATCAACATAGATTATCATTTCTTCCACTTATGACAACAAGCCATTTTCAGGTCAAGAAACCACAAGCTCAGAGAGGTTAAGTGGCTGAGTCAGGCTCAGAAGGTAGATAGTTGCAGCTCCAGAACCAAAATCCAGGCCGTGGGGTGTCCAGCACGGTACAGCATGTCCTCCAGGCCATCACCCACCCCCTCCGTGGCTGAACAAGTTGGGTTCATTACTCATACTGTGACAATGGTCAAGTCATTTAACATCCCGGAAACTCTATTTCCTTTTCTCTAAGTGGAGTAAGAACTGTGGTCCAGGCTCGGCGCCTGTGGCTCAAGGGGCTAAGGCACCAGCCACGTACACCTAAGGTGGAGGTTCGAATCCAGCCCAGGCCCGCCAAACAACAATGACGGCTGCAACCAAAAAAATAGCCAGGCGTTGTGGCGGGTGCCTGTGGTCCCAGCTACTTGGGAGGCGGAGGCAGGAGACTTGCTTGAGCCCAGGAGTTGGAGGTTGCTGTGATCTGAGATGCCACGGCACTCTACCCAGGGGGACAGCTTGAGGCTCCTGTCTCAAAAAAAAAAAAGAACTCTGATCCAGCTTGAGCTTCAAAGAAGGGAAATGGCTACTCCCACTAACAGCATGCGATAGGCGAGCTCGTAGAGAGTTCGGAGACTGCTGAGTGCTTGACATGTACGAGGTCCTTTAATCCTCACAGCCGCCCTGTGGCTAAGTGTCATTGGTGTGTATGTCCATACCATGGGCCAGGAGACTGAGGTAGAAGGGGGCTGAAACGATCGGTGCCAAGTTGCACAGTTACTAAGTGTAAGGATGCTTTGCCACTGCCAACTGCCATGTGCTCAGGCCACTAGTGTCCATGGATCTGGTGACAGTGAGAAGAGTTCCAGCCCAACTCCCACGGCGACTGAGCTGGGCCCTGGGGAGACCAGCCTACCCAGGTCTTACTTTCCTACCTCCAGCAGAGTGCCCAGCAAGTAACCAGGGCTCAGCCAAGGCGGAGAGGGCGGTGTGGTCATCAGCTTTGCTGTTACCTGTGCAAGGGGAGGAATTTTCCTCTGCCCTCCTCACCAGAAGGGGCGTGTGACTAAAGAGGTGACCGGGTCAGAGACGTAGCCACAGATAGGAGGTTTCATTTGGGGTCACAAAAGGAGGAGGGTCACTGACAAAGAAGCCACAGGCTCTCTTGAAATGCAAGCAGCGCTAGGCCCCTTGTCAACGGTTGATTTTGTTTTATGTTAATGATCTGTGATTCTTCAGGCACAAACCCTCATCCTTCCAAGGGGTGCTCCTGGGAATTCCCAACTCCTCTGCCAGCCCTTCATGCCTAAGGGGATAAGGAGGGCCGGGGAGGGGAAGGCAGAGGCCAGCCGCAGTGCTCAAGGTGAGGTTAGGGCCACTGTCTGGGGGAAGTCCCGCCTGTGCACGTGCTAGTCACGGCGGGCGAGCCACTGCAGGACTCCGAGCCCTGTCTGAGGGCCTGCAGGGAGACTGAGACTCAGCTGAGCCCTCCCTTGATTCCAGATGTTTGTGGGGCTGCTGTTCTGGTTCCAGTTTTACTGTGGCTTCTCTGCGTCCGCCATGATCGACCAGTGGTATCTCATCTTCTTCAACCTGCTCTTCTCCTCGCTTCCCCAGCTTGTGACTGGGGTGCTGGACAAGGATGTGCCGGCCCACATGCTGCTGAGCAAGCCCCAGCTCTACAGGAGCGGCCAGAACATGGAGGTAACACACCAAGTCGGCCCTCCCGGCTCCTGCCCTCCACTTTCACTTTCTGGAGAGGGCACATTTAAAAGGCCAGCCTGGACAAATTGTTAAAATTCTAGAATCTGACCTGTGAAGGGAAAAATAGGGACGCTGTCTGCTCACCTCTGTGGCACAGGGAGTATTGTGAGTGGAAGCTGCCTCCAGGGTCACCCACAGCCCCAGGAAGGCCCTTGAGGAGTTGCAGGTGATCACTGAGGCCTGAGTAGGGATTTAAAAAAAAAAAAAAAAAAATAGTGATTTCTTTTGAATAGGAATTAAGAAGACAGACCCTCAGAAAACTGTTGAACTGTTCAAACAAAAAGTTGTAAATATATGCTCACACTTATATACCAAGTAGACTAACCAGTTAATGACAGATTCTTCCTAGCCAGCCACTAAAGCAGACCAGGTGGCCAGTGTTATCCAACCTTTTTTATGTCACAGCACACTTAGACCTATAGTTAAATTTCCTCCGCACACTTAAATTATGTTGATCTAAAAAAAGAGTGCTTTGAACTTCTTTTTAAAATAATTTAATTCATGGTCTTTAAAAATGTTCTCAGCACACCTAAGACTTTCTTGCAGCCCACCAGTTGAAAATCAGTGATTTGAGTGCTTCTCTGTGCCGGGTTTGATTCACCCTACATGTGGAAGAAGAATACAGAGTCCCGTTTCTCCCACGTGTACAATAATCTCTAATTCAAGATTTGTTCTCTTACAAGCCAACTTCTCCTGGCTGCCTTTGTAGATGATCGGCTCCCAGAGAAGTTGGTCTGACAGGGTCAGAGGGTAGGGAGGAGCGCGGGGGCCTATGGGGCTTGCCTAGCTTCGGCCTGCCGTGGGACACAGAGGCTGGGAGTTGCGGAGTTAGATGACCCTTGGGAAGAGCCAAGCTAGCACTTTACCAGGTGCTCAGTGAGAGCCCCGCTGTCTGCTCTGTATTTCCTGCAGGCCAGTTTCTGGTCCAGTTGCTTGGGCACTTTGCAGGGTCCAGTACAGACTTGGTCGCCTGGGTAACGAAAGCTCTATCCATCTATGTCCGTGTTACTTTTCCTTGTGGGTATGTAACTTTTGGACTTGAACCTTGGGACACATCCATCTTCTACTTTTAAAAAAATTCACTTGTAAGCAACATTTCTAAGGGATCCTCTACAAAGGGAGGCAAAACCCTGACAAAGTAGAAGAAATAAAAGTGCTCAAATTAGGGGAAAACACCCATAGTTTCAGATGCTTTCCCTTGCAAGATTTAGAGTCAGTCTATCCTTTCTTTCTTGGAGAAAAAAATAGGGGGGGAAAGAAAAAAGTGATTGTGTCTTTTTCCTATGGATCTAGAACTCAGGGAGGCCTGCAAGGTGCTTGTGTCATGTTCCCATCTGCGCTGTGGGGCCTCCCGTTCCAACAGTAGGTGCTCAGCTCCCACTTGGAAGTACGTGCAGCAGAGCCTCCACCAGAAGATACTCAGGAATAGTGTGTTCAGCAGGAATGCAAATGCCGAAATCAACAATGAGGGAGGGAGCTTGTTTCCTCACAGGAGGCTGAGACTTCGGGAGGGAGGCCAGGGAAGACAAAGGGTTTTAAAGGAAAAAATGAGCAGGAAAAAATATTTTGAGATAACTGTCCTTGGTTACAAGGACCAATAACTAGGGTGGTGCTGGTCCCAGCACAGACAGGCAGTGGCTGGGCAGATGTCCTCACAGATGTATTTTTCTGTCTGGTTATGATGGCCTCTGTGCAAAGCTGGAGGTTTTGCAGTCTTTTCTGATACCTTTTGTTATCAGGCATTTATGCATTAGAACCCACCCCTCCTGGCCTTCCCCAGCTCTGACTGTCTTGGGTGTTTATGTGGTTGTCTTTTCAACACAAGGGACACATCTGGGTTCTGATGACTTGAGGGAGAACACTGGGCACTTTCCGTCATCTCCCTGCTCTCCTTCTGTGTTCCAGGAATACCGGCCACGGACCTTCTGGTTAAACATGGTCGATGCTGCCTTCCAGAGCCTGATTTGTTTTTTCATTCCTTACCTGGTAAGTTGGCACCTGGCACAGTTTCCCCCATCAGCTGTCTTCGGGGACCCACAGATACAAGATGCCGCTGTCTTTCAGGCCTACTACAATTCGGATGTGGACCTGTTTACCTGGGGGACGCCCATCACCGCTATCGCACTGCTCACCTTCCTGCTGCACCTGGGTATCGAAACCAAAACCTGGGTAAGAGTCAGCCACTCGGTCACATCCGGAAGGACGGTGATGCTGCGGGCCCCACACTTTCCTGCAGATTCCACGAGACCTAGGAGGTTTTGTGAGCAGACAGGAGACTGCAAAGCCTACCTCATGGTGATGAAAAAGAAAACACCACCTACCGAGTGCTACCAACACCGCTCCCTGGGCAGCACTCTGCTCCTTCCCACTTCCCTCCCCTCCTTCCCATATGCATCGCCCCGTCCCTCTCATCTTTCTCTCCCACCCCTGACTCCATCTTTCCACCTGTGTGTGTCCACAGGCTCCTGAGGCTTCCTTAAGCCCCACCGACTTCCCATAAGAAAGACCCCCGTTTTTAACTAAGCCCTGAGAACATGCTGTCCACTCAGGGGCGACTGGTGCACTTTTCTTGTCACCGTTGTCACTTCCGAGTTGAAATAAAAGCCCTTTCTTTCCTTCTTCCCCCTCAGACCTGGCTCAACTGGATAACTTGTGGCTTCAGCATTCTTTTGTTCTTCACTGTGGCTTTGGTTTACAACTCTTCTTGTGCGACGTGCTACCCTCCGTCCAACCCTTACTGGACTATGCAGACGTTACTGGGCGACCCTGTGTTTTACTTGATATGCCTCATAGCGCCTATCACGGCCCTGCTGCCTAGGTGAGCGGTGGAGGCTGGACAGCCCTTGTGTTGCTCTCGTGCCCCCGCAAGTCTCCAGAAGCTCAATGTCTAACTTTCTCTTGCTGTGCTCTTTTCAGATTGTTTTTCAAAGCCCTCCAGGGAAGCCTTTTCCCCACCCCACTGCAGCTGGGACGCCAGTCAGCCCGGAAGTTCCCCAAGAGACTCAGCACTCCCACAGAGACTTCCCAGGGACGCCCTGGGGGGGATGAGCACTCCACCAGGGAAAGTGTCAGCCCCCCTGCACCCCTGTCCCAGGACTGTGCCTCACACCCTTCTTGGCACACGCAGCCAGCTTGCTCCCCAGAGGCCAGCGGGGAGCCCAGCGTGGTGGACACCAGTGTGCCTTTGAGGGATGACACCGCACTGGAGGGGCTGAGCACACAGGCCCCAGGGTCCTCCATGTGGGGGGCAGCGGTCCCGGAAGGGTGTCCCAGGGAGTCCAAGGTGAAATCCACGAGTGCCGGCAGGGCGGCCCCTCTGTCGTCTCTCTTCAGCCTGCCCAGCTTCAGCTCACTCAACTGGATCTCCTCCCTGTCTCTGGTCAGCGGGCTGGGGAGTGTCCTGCAGTTCTCCCGGAGCAGTTTGCAGATGGACAAGCCGGACGGGGACTTTCTGTCCGGCCCCTCTCAGGCAGAGCAGGACTTACGGGGACAGACCACAGACTACTTCTAGGAGCACCTCCAAGGGGTCGCAGCTGACTGCGGTTGCCAGGGAAACCTTGATTTCAAGACTTTTTATATATATATGCATATATATATAACATAGATGTTAATATTATTTATGTTTATTATTTGCACAGAAGAATTCTAGGGAGATGTATTTTTAAATGTTTCCAAGGCTAACACAGGAAACAAGAGGTACCAAAAAAAAAAGTTTTATTTTTTAAAGTTCAACATAGAGTATATTGAAAAGAAAAATAAGAGCTTTAAAATATATAAAAGTTTTAAAGAAGAATAACACTTGAAAAGTGTGTTTAGATTTATTTTTTCATCTCATTTTGTAAGAAAATGCAGTACAGTTTGTTTTCTGTGACATCCGTGTCCTTTGCCTACGTGGGGCTGAGCGCAGTGACCCTGGGCGGATGCAGACAGAGACAAGTGCCAGAGGGCAGAGCAGGCGGCCCCAGAGGCAGGTCCCTCACTGGCTTCCACTTCCACCCACAGGGGAGGTCAAGGGCTCCCCCTCACCCAGAAAAGGGAAAGCGAGACCTCAAGACAAATTCACGTGTGAAGTTCATTCCAGCATCCCATTCTCCACAGGCATTTCATGAAGATCTCCCTGTGGGTATCACAGTCCTTATGCAGTATTTTGCCTGAAAATCATAAAAAGCAATAAACACCCTTCACTTTGCAAAAGAGCGTGTCCTGCCATCACTGTGTCCGTGAAGTGGTTAGCGTCTGACCTTACAAAATGTGTTTTCATTGCCGCAGAGCCAGCCTTTCAGGCTCAGTGTCAGTTTTGGTGACACAGGCACCACTGTCCCTGCACAGCCTATTGTGCCTCTGTGCCCTGCACCAGGCCATCGGCACCCCCAGGCCCTTCCAGCCAAGGGGTGAGGCTGTTCAAGTGTGAGTGCCCAGGTGTTGGTCTGATGAGCCGTCAGGTCTCTCCCCCCAGAAAAGGAAAAGGGAGAGAGTGAGAGAAACCCGGGACAGTCTGGGCCCTGCGGGGTGTGGCACAGGCAGGGCGCGCTCCTTGCAGCGCAGCACACACGGCTTCTGTGCACATCTGTGCAGAAAACAGCCACACGGTCAGGGCCAAGGAGACAAATTCCTGAGCGCAGCATAGGAGGAAAGGCCGGCAAGTTGTCCAGTGAATGAGGCTCATTGCAAGTAACAGAAAGAGCACCCCACTCTGCTCAGTCAGACAAGGAAAGCTTAGCTCGGTGTCTGCAAGACCAGAGAGAGGGTGGAAAGGGGAGTGATTGGACTAGGCATCGTAAACCTGGATTTTCCTCTCTTCCCTGACTGTTAAAGGACAGTGCTGTCCTAAGGTGGCCTCTGTTCATGCGATGTAATGGCTGGAGTCTCTCAGGATGGAGCCACACCTGTTGCTTTCTGAACAGAGAGAGGACATTCATCTTCATATTCTAAATGGAATCCCAGTTTCCTTAGCCTCACCCTGTGTACACTGCACGATGTGCTCAGAGTAATGGGGACTATCCTGACTGGGGCTCCCAGCCAGAGCTGGGAGAGAGGTCAGCTTCCCTCAAAGTTCCTGAGCTTCGTGAATGAAGACTAGGAAGATAATCTGTGTCCTGTTAGATGGGGAAGACAGAAGGTGGTGGGAGGCAGCTCGGCAGCTGGCTGTGCCAGACCACAGGTGACAGCCATCCCAACCCATCTCCCCCATGCCCAGGGCCGCCTGATCTGTTCTTCCCCACCCTCTGCCCCGAGACAGAGTCTCACTATGTCACCCTTGGTAGAGTCCCATAGCATCACAGCTCACAGTAACCTCAGACTCTTGGGCTTAAGTGATTCTCTTGCCTCACCTCCCAAGTAGCAGGGACTACAGGCACCCGCCACAATGCCCAGGCTATTTTTTGGTTGCAATTGTCATTGTTTAGCAGGCCTAGTCTTGAACCTGCCAGCTTCAGTGTATGTGGCTGGCTCCCTACTCACTGAGCTATAGGCACCGAGCCCACCTAATCTGATGCTGCTGTTTCCTGAATTAAGGTAAGCATATTTATCTGAATATCTGAGGGTTCAAGATGCCCCCACTTCCAGATTTTTCCTGCATTCATGATCTGCCTTTTTTTCCAAAGATTGTCTTCTCTGCACATATTTAATACTTCCTCTTGGGAAATGGGATGACCCAGGCAGTGGCTTCAGGAATAAGCACACAAAAGCTGTTTTAGGGAAATAAACGTCATAGATGGCACCACGGGCTAGCTGCTCTTTGGGATGAGTGATGTTCACAGGCATCTGCAAAGATGATCCATCACTGCTAAGTTCCATGTCCAAGTGAACATAGTACGTGTGTAGGGAATGAACTTGACAGTTAACTCAGAAAAGCGCTGCTCAGGGGCAGCACCTGTGACTCAGAGGGGTAGAGTGCTGACCCCATATACCGGAGGTGGTGGGTTCAAATCCAGCCCCAGCCAAAAACTGGAAAAAAAAAAAAAAAAAGAAAGAAAAGCACTGCTCACAAGAGCCTAAGTTAAGCAAGAAGGCTGGCTTTTTAACACCAGCTCTGTCCTTGGCAACAGAGTAGCTGGATTAGTTATCTGACCTTACACAGCATGTACATTTCAAAGTCAAAACTAACTAATTTTAAATGCTTAGAGGTGAAGTATTTACTAACTAATTTTAAATGCTCAGAAGTGAAGTATCTTCCCTTAGTCTACCCCTGGTACTTTACACAGAATCTAACAGTTTGAATGTACCCAGTAAATGGTTGAAGAATCCAAGAATAAATGATAATCATGAAACACTAAAGGCATTCCTGTTAAAATCAGAGTTAAAGGAATGTTTCTTTTTATAGCCCATTATTATTTAATATTTTATGGAATTTCTGGATAATGTAATGAAGTTTTTAAAAAGAATGAATATTGGAATGTTAGAGACCAAGATACTGTTACTTGCACACGGAATGATGGTCCATCTAGAAGATGCAAATGAATAAATTTTTAAAAGACTCTTAGAACTACTGAGAGAAGGAACTGAATTGACTCACTGTGATGAAAACAAACTGGCTTTCTGTAGAGCAGTGACAAGCAGTTACCATAATGAGATAGGAAAAGATCTCATACAATAATACAACACCAACACCAGCAAACATTAAAGCACTGAAGAATTATCTCAGTAAGTATAAAGACAACTTACCAGATCTTAGGAAGATGTAAACTAAAAGATATGCCGCATTTCCAGGTTAGAAAACTACTTACAGTAAAGGTGCTGCATTCCGGACAAAATTTCTGTACTTTTTAAAACCTTTAATTATTTTTTTGTTTCTTATTGTTTAGATTTTTTTAATTTAATAAAATGGTTCTATCATTTATCTGGAAGGATATATAGGCAAAGAAAAAAAAGAAAATTCCAACAAATAAACGGAATGGAGAGAATTCAAGAAAAGATACATGAACAAAACAGACGAGATGTATTATTTTATGTTTTTAAAAAAGGATTGAGAATCAGTGAGAAAGAACTATTTACTAAATTGCATGGGTAACCAGTCAACAATGTGGGAAAAACTGGTTAATTCATCTGCACACCGGGTGAATTGCAAATAAAATGTTAAATTTTGAATATAAAGCCATAGTAAAATCAGAAGAAGTTGAAATCAAGCATCATCAAACTTGTGGAAAGAATGACCCCTTGGGTACTTGGGGCAGCTCCGGGGTCTTGCCAACCCCCAGCCCTAACCCCATGGCCCCTCTGAACTGTCCCCCACATAGCTACTTTGTCAGCCTGTCACTTCTTATTTCCCCATTTTGGCTTTGAGGATCCTGTTCCATATTATTATTTGGGAATATCAGTCTGAACACTGTAGGATGCTATTCTTTCAAACCCCCATAGGCACCACATGTCAACCCTCCCAGTTGGTCCCAAACAGGGGCTTTGTTGAGGAAATCTAGCAGAAGAGGTGACTCCCCCACTGAGAAATGATAGGTAGAATTTATCCCTCACATACAATAAAGAAAAAAGTCAATTGCACTAAAAAATATTTCAGTAACCTGCATGTTAAATGATATTCAGAATGAAAAGACCAAACCCATAAGAAAAATTGTATTAATAATAAATGTGGAAAAGTGCTTTATAGTACACATAATTGCTATGAATCAAACAGCATCAAGACTCTATTGACCCAATGCCACTTTGGAGACTAAGCTAAAGGAAGTAATTTTCTCTCTGTGTTGGAGAAGGAAGTCCCTAGTTTATACTCACTTCATATTCAATTTCCTTGGCACTATTTTCCTAGTTAGTAAACCAGGACAATGCAATATTTAAAATAGAAATTATAGACAAGAATCAGAGATACACAGAACACTCGAAATAAAAATAAAACACATAATGTAATGAGGTAGAGATTTTTTTTTTTGAGACAGTCTCACTTTGTCACCCTTGGTAGAGTACTGTGGTGTCATAGCTCACAGCAACCTCAAACTCTTGGGCATAAGTGATTTCTCTTGTCTCAGCCTCCCAAGTAGCTGGGACTACAGGTGCTCACCACAACACCCAGTTATTTTTTGAGACATGGTCTCGCTCTGGTTCAGGCTGGTCTTCAACTTGTGAGCTCAGTCAATCCACCCACCTCAGCCTCCCAGATTATAGGCATGAGCCACCATGCCTGGCCCAGGTATACCTTTTTTTTTTTTTTGAGTAGAAAATAAATTAGAACTCTAAAAAGTATGTGATCTATACCTCTCTCCCCATAAATGTAAAGGAGAAAGAAGGAATAAAGAACACATAGACAAATATAATAGAAAACAAATAGCAAGACTATAGACTTAAACCAAACCTATCAACAGTTACATTAAATGTAAGTAAACTAAAAGCCTCAATTTAAAAAACAAAGATGGCTCTGCACCTGTGGCTCAAGTGGCTAAGGTGCCAGACACATACACCTAAGGTGGCGGGTTCGAATCCAGCCTGGACCTGCCAAACAACAATGATGGCTGCAACCAAAAAATAGCCAGGCGTTGTGGCGGGCACCTGTGGTCCCAGCTACTTGGGAGGCAGAGGCAGGAGAC